TAATAAAAGCCTAATATGCTAAGTGTCTGGTTGACTGGTTGGTTGTTCAACCAATCAAAGCCTAATATGCTAATGATATGCTAAGGCTGCTCAATTGCTCACTGTAACGTGCACTGACCACCAGGGGGCAGACGCTCCAAACAATAGGTTAGCTTGCTGCTGGGGTCCAGCTGATTGGGACTGAGTAAGACGGGCTGGACAGACCTTGGAGCACTCCTGCAGTCCCTCCCCAGCTGACCAACCTCCCGAGTCTCTCCCTGATCCTGATTGTGCACCAGTGGGGTCCCTTGTCCTGGGCTGTGCCCTCTCACAATCTAGGACCTCTCGGGGGATGTCAGAGAGCCAGTTTCAGCTGGATCCCGAAGGCCAGGCCGAGGGACTCCACTGGTGCATGAATTTGTGCACAGGGCCTCTAGTCCTAGAATAACAGCCATGAAAACAGAAGGAAGTCAAAGAGCACACTAAGAAAGCTGCACAATCCATGGACCTGGTGATCTCCACGAGACACACAGAGTCCACTGAACTAGTAACTCCCGGAGCCTGGCACCTCCCCATCTCAGTCACGGACCCTGTGCCCTCCTGTGCTCAGGGATGATGCCCTTCTCTGGATAGCTCCCAATGGCAGGAGCAGGCCACTGAGCCCCTGCCTTCTCCATTCCCAGCAGGCCCCACAGTTTCAGAGCTGGGCCGGCACATCAGTGGTGTCGTCTCTCCTGAGGCTCAGGCATTGTCTCTAATGACTCAATCACAGCCCCTGATGAGGAAGGGGGTTGCTTCCAGGAGGTTAGGGCAGCCCCAAAATGGGGGACACTCCTGAAGGCCTGGTTACTTCTGGGACTCACTGCACAGTGACCCCGCCCCCAGAGTGGGTCCCAGCTAGTACAGGAGCCCTGCTCTCCCTCCACCTGGCCTCTACCTCAGGACACCCACTGCCAGGCCCCCAACAACAGCTGTGAAAGGAATCAGCTTCCAAAGACATGTCCAGTTGGCTTTCCATTTTCCATGTACAGGAGGGGGCAAAAGTAGGTTTACAGCTGTTCATGGTGAAAACAATATAATAAATAATGACACAAGAATAAATTCTGTTTTGTGTACTCACAACTGTAAACCTACTTTTGCCCCCCTGCATATTTTGATACATTTTTGGATTACACGTGGTCAATACCATAGGGTATGGAAGGAGAGTGAAACATCATTTTATACGTATAATCTTGAACTTATGTGGTGGTTCCATAAAGATCTAGTAATATGAGTGCCCCCACCCCTGCCTCTCACAGTGAACCAGCAGGGAGACAGATGATGCTGGGCCTCCATCCAGTCCTCAGCTCCCAACCAGCTCCCCCACCCAATGTATCAGTCCTCAGAGCAAAGCCCCGGAGTCCACAGGGAGACAGAGAGAGAAAGTATGAGGGGAAAAGAATGGGTGATTTCATCCAAAAGGACATTTGTAGCAAGGCTGTCCTTTTAAAGTTAGAAACATGACCATATCTTTATTATTTGTGGTAAAGGAAAAAGCCACGACTGGTATAATAATGCAAAAAGACAGGTTAAGCTAGAAACAACCTCTCATTACGGGATATACAGTCATCAACAGCTCATGCTTTAAATCTGGTTTCCCAAGCCCAATCTTGCCAAAGAATCCCCTGAAGGACCTGTATCCCACCCCAAACCTCCACTCTAGCAGGCCGCCTGCATCCATAATAAAGAAATGAATTCATTTTATGTGGGGTCTCACCCTGACAATGCTCAAATAACCCCAGGCATTTGAATTGTGCAGACAGCTCATGCCTGAGTGAGGGTCAAGCTCTCCCCCCAAAAAACTATGTCACATAACTGCATGGAATTGCTATTCCTCAAGCTGCCTCCCTTCTCAAAATCTCAGGGTGAATAACAGCCATTCTAGGACTATAGGGCTGCTTAGTTGAGAAGCATGCAATTAACAAGTCCAGATGGTTTTCTTTTGCGGGGGTCATGGGGGGTGCAGCTGAGGCTAAATTGCTCTCTTCTCTTCATAAATCAGATGATCCCAGGCCTGACCACCCAGGTCAGGGACTCAGCCGTCTGCCCGCCTTGGGGGGAGGGGTGCCGGGTACAGGGACCTGTTACCTGCTGGACATCCTGCTGGAAGACACAGAGCTGCAGTCGCTGGTGCAGCCGCACCTTGCGGTGCTGCCAGATGCTCTCGAGGCGCCGCTGGTGGTGCAGCACCTCGTGCACCACGTCCAGCACCTGGTGCACTGCCTTGGAGTAGTTGGCTGTGGCTGTGAGGGACTCAGAGTTCCCGGGGCTCAGGGGACGCTGCAGCACATCCAGCAGGGCCTTGCCATCCTGGCTGACCTGCAGGAAGGGAAGAGGGTCGTGTCAAGGGAGTGGAGTGGCAGACAGGGCACAGAATTGGTGGCTAATCCTACCCAGACTGATGACAATTAAGGAATGGGCCAGCCAGTGCTGCCATGGTACCCAGCCCGCAGCCTGGGGAGGACGGAGCACCTGGGAGTCTGGGGGAGAGGCATTGCAGGGCAGCACCCAGTGTCTGTGAAACTCCTGAATCAGTCTCTCTCTCTCTTGAATTTTCACTCCATGAGGGCAGAGACTGCCCGCCTCCCCAGCACCTGGAGCAGTGCCTGGCACACAGTACTTGATATGTACTTTGACTAACTCACTGACAGGTCAGGCAGCAGAACTGTTCAGAAATGAAGCTGAGTATATATTGACATCATAAACCTCTCCCCCTCTTTTTTCTTCACCTTCCTCTACCTGCTTCCAAACTTCTAGATGTGTGACCAGAGAAAAGTTATCAGTTTCCTTGCCTCAGGAACTCATAGGGAGAGTGATGGTGCATACCTAGGGTTGTGGTGAGGATTAAATGAGTTAACACACGCAGGGCACTTAGACTGGGGCCCAGCACCTGGAATTGGCTACCAGTTCTATCTTCATCATCATCATCATCATCATCATTTCTCTCTCCTGTCTTCTTTCTTTCCTTGTCAATTTCTTTCTTCTATATTGATCCTTCTTTTGCTCTCCTCCTATACAACCACTTATTTTCTCCTGAAAGTGGTGACATCCCCATCTTTCCAGAATACGCAGAGTAAAGGAAGGACCCTAAGATTGTGGCCACACCATCCGTGCTCCTGGGCTCCTCAGCCTCAGTGCTGTGTGTGGGTGCGCGCACACCCACACATGCACCCAGATTATCCCTGCTGATGGCCCCATTTTCTCTGCTTCCTGGTTGGATATACCATCGTTCATAGACCAAAGATCATAAAGAGTCTCCAAAGAGAGGAAAATGGCCTCTCTTCTTCTTAGTCCAACCTAGGGTATTCCGCAGTGTACAGGCCGGTGCTGTCGCCACCCCCACCCCCATACACACACAGTCAGGACCCTTGGGTATCCTGCTGGGTTCTCACCTCTGTGTAGGCCTGCGTCACCTGCTCATACAAAGACTGGTGGTGGTGAATCGCCAGCTCCAGGTCCTGCATCTCGGATGGCAGGCCACCTTCACTGCACATCTTGCACCAGGCGTCCACTCCTGACAAGAACTGGAAGGAGATGCCAACTGGATCAGTGTGGGCACTGGGTTGGGCAATGGGCAGATCATATAGTAGAGATGGTCAGATGCCTTGGGAAAAGGCATCACTACCTCTGGAAGCCTTCAGAGACCACTGCAGAGAATGGAGGTTTTCCTTTAATTGTACAAACATTAACTCCATGTAAGAAGTCAGACCCAGTAAGAAAGTGTGGTTTCTATAAACAAACATAACTATTATGAAACTGCTGGGGGTGGGAGCCATCTGCATGTTCAACAGGTCATATCCACACACTGACTATGCAATATAGGTGTGCAAACAGCTCACTACATTGCATGTATACATTAGAACTGCTTGTCCTGTGCACACTCACAGGCGCATGGGAGGGGCTACACTGAATGTAATGGGATGTTTCCATACAGCTACTTTGTAGTGTGGACACTGAGTTGTGAAGAGGAGTGAAGAACACATCATACAGGTCCCTCAGGAAATTTACAGAGACGTGTCCCACAAGGAATGGAGATTAACCCTCAAGAAGATCCCTACTGCTGGGCCAGTAGCCCTGGGATGGGAGGGGGAGTGGTGGCCTAGGAGGACAGACTGTACTGTGCCTACAGTGGCAGTGGCTCCTGGAATGTGATATATATAGATCTGGACAGATATCCAATTATTTAAAAATGAAAATTAACAACTGTGGAGGACTATGGGTCTCTGTGCACAAAGGGTGAGCCAACTGAAATCACTCAGAGTAATTGGGTGGAAAAATACACCTTAAATATACAAATAATTCTTCACCCAACAGCCTGGAATGTTTCTGTCTGTGATTCCTCTCACCTGGGTGCACAGCACCATTCACATTAACTGCCTAAATACCTTTTTCCCTCATTGCCTAGAACAGCCCATGGGAGGACAATAAAGAACTGCCTAAACAAACGCATTGAAAAAACAGCCTGAAACCGTTTGGTGTGTCCCCCACCCTTCCCCCTCCCCTAGCTAAAGAGAATCATAGTTTATGAGTTTCCCTGAAGAAGTGATATCTGCAGAAACTGCATTAAAAACAGATACAAATAAAATTGCCCCTGATCCAAATTAAGGAAACCACAGGGAGCAGTTGACTCCTCCAGCCACTGCATTTTCTATAAGTGCTCGAGTTCCAGTCTTGGTGTCACCGTCAGCTTTCAGTCCTGGGCTGTTGGTTGTGTGGTTGATTTTTCTTGTGTGTGTGTGTGTTTTAAATTACATTAGGACATCTCTTAACAATTCTAGAAGAGACCTGGCTGCTATCCTGCATCAGACTGCATGTACTTGATAACATCTCAGAAGCTTCTCTGCTCCACCAATAATCATTTTACAAAATGCCTGAAAACACCTTGACATTCCTGTGTCAATTGTTAGAGGGGCCTCTCTTTAAAGTCCTTGCGATTTCTCTGCAACACTCTAACAAGAGTCCTATAGCAGATCCCACAAAAGGGAGCTCAAGAAAGATAGACAGAGAAGGAAGCATGAGTCTCCCTTGCCAATCTGGATAGGGTTGAAATGGAACAGGTGACTAGATATGAATAATATTCTCATGGTCCTTAGAATGAACCAGTCACAGTTGGCCATTACCACTATCATCTTAAAAAACAAACAAACAAGAAAACACGTGGCTAGACCGCTCTCAATGTACGGGCTGCCCTCGACTTGTGACACAAGTATTTTAGACTTTGGAAGGTCTCAGGTGGAAACAGGCGCAGTGAAAAAAATACAGAACACCAGGAGAGTATGTTGAAGAAAGACCCGCAGTAGAATCTGTCATTTAAAATGCACACGAGGCACCTTCCATGCTCCATCGCGGCGGGAGGTTTGAATTATCCCACATTAGAAATGAGGAAATAAGCTTAGATGAGTGGGATGAACTGCCTAATGTAAATGAATCATGGGGCTGCGATGGGAACCTCCATGTGTCTTTTCACCAAGCCTGGACTCTCAACGATCCCATATTGCCTTCCACATTAGGTGGGTAACAGAGGGAAAGATTATGATCCTGTGTCCAACTCTCCATTATCTGGGAAGCTACCAAATGTTATACAAAGAAAGAAATGTAGAGGTTAAGACCACAGACTTTAATGTTAGACACACATGGGTCGAAATCCCAGTTATCCGTAAGTTGTGTGAATTTCACAGTGGTATGTTAGTATATGTTTAGCCACCCCAATATATATGTATGTACACACACACACACACACACACGTGTATTATAAACTTTACTAACATGAAAGATATGCAAAACATAATTTACACAGAATAATAACATACACAATGCTCTTTATTGTAAATTCCATGTAGCCAACTGATCCTCACAGGGTGCTTTTGTATGTGACACAGTTGTATAGTTTTGACTTGAAAGCTGGTTAATAGTTTCAGTTTTGGTTTAAGACAAAAGTGAAAATACCTCAAGACTTATGTCAGAGAATAACTTGTTCATCCGAGAGGGGCTTCTTGGCTGAATGGAATAATCGTTTCTGAATATCAGAAGACTATTTCCTCAATTCTGTGTGCTATTCACAATGTAAGAGCTACAGACAAGACACATTTTAAGTTTAGTCTGCACTTCTAAATATTTTCCCCTCATTTTGTAAGACTGACCACCATAGTTTAAGGCAGCCGTGGGCAAAGTACGGCCCATTTGAAATGAATAAAACTAAAAAAAAAAAAAAAGACCATACCCTTTTATGTAATGATGTTTACTTTGAATTTATATTAGTTCACACAAACACTCCATCCATGCTTTTGTTCCGGCCCTCCGGTCCAGTTTAAGAACCCATTGTGGCCCTCGAGTCAAAAAGTTTGCCCACCCCTGCTCTAGAGCAATCAATAGATCAAGCCGTGGTTTGTAGCATTTGATGATTCCCAGGCTGTAAATCCCCTCCCTGGATCTATTTCAAGTGACCTCACCAAACACAGAGTTAGGCAGCGATGACTGGTAGCACACACTGTATAGTATTTCCACCATAGATATACACTTCCAGATAGATAATAAACAATGTCAAGAACTTAATGAAATGTAACAAAATAATTAAGATGTAATGAGTTTTGAGTATGTGTTGGCTTTGTTTTTAATATGACATATTTGATATAAATTTAGTTTTAAGTAATGGCTATATTTAATAACCAGTTCACAACATTTCTAGAATTTTAACTAGACCTCCATGATCTGGTTAGAGCCAGCTCCAGCCCACCACTGGGTCTCAGGCAGGTCTCTTATTCTCTCTGAGCTTCAAGGCTCCTCTCTGTAAAAGGAGTCAGTAATGTCACCGGCCAATACCAGTAAGTAAATGAGAACAAATCATTGTTACTTCTAGTGTTAATGTTACATAATTATTACCCATAGCAAATGCTTCATGTAAAATCAGTGTCCCCTGCTCTCAGGATCCTATGATACTTTCACCCCTTTGGTCTATGCTCAGGGAACGCAAACTAAAAGTCAGCCCACACAAGGACACACACCAACAAACTACCCCGTGAATGTAAACAGGCCCTGGGTCCTTCTCATCGGATGACAAAGCACAGCCATCACTGTTCCTTTATGTACACGGGGCCACGAAAGTGGCAGATTGGGTTACTGTTGCAACAACTCAGCAGGGCCTTTGGGGTTTCAAAGAGGAGAGGGGCTCTCCACCAGGTGCATCTCCTCCCACCTGCCCCTCCCCTGGTCCTCCTCCCTTCCCACCACAGAAACTCCGGCAGCTCCCCTGGTCTCACCTGCTCAGCCTTCTGGTGGAACACCGCGGACATGGCGAGGATGGTGCTGCGCTCATCCAGGGCAGCCGCGAAGCTCTTCCACTCCTGGTCCAGCTGCGTGGAAATCTGCTTGATTTGCTGCGAGGCATAATGACCGGCCTCCGAGAGGCGGGAAGCCACGGACATGATGCGGTTAATGTTGACATAGGCATTCTGGAAAGAAAGGAGAGTGAGCACTCCGTGGGGCAGGCTGGAAAGGCATCCACTGAGCACTACTGGGGTGAGGACTTGGGGAAGGAAGCTAAACTAAATAAAAAGTATGAGAGAGGATGGGATAGGCCACAATAGCATATCCATTTTGGGCCTAAGGTAAGTCTTTGTCTATGATAAAATTTCTACAGATAGCAGGTACAGTAGCGGAGGCTTTTTATTCTGGGGATGGGAAGAGTTTTCATGCCAACTACTATTGCACATAAATGCAGTCACTTTGCGTAGACTGCCTCAGTAAACCTCACTATCATCGTAGGAGGCCATGCCGAGGGGCCAGAAGGGTACTTCTAAGAGTTACTCTCTGCAAGTAATGGCTCAGACTAAGGAGGCAAAAGCACCTCTCTTTCTCAGGAGAGAGCTGAACCTGGGCCATTATTGCCACCTACAACAGGGCAGCAATGCACATCAACGAGGGCAAAGGACAGATGTTACACCGTAACTCCACATCTTCCTATCACAAGCGAAGACTTAGCTGCCCCCACACTGCTCCCTCCTCCACAAGAGCTAGGCACTGGCCATCAGGCGGGGTTTAAATAAAGAGAACATTCAAAGCCACGACATTTTTCCATGCTAAAAATAAGATCGATGGAACCCTTTCCGATCTCTACTTAGGGACATTTCCCCCCCTGACCCCAAAAGGCATCTGTGGGGCTCTCCTGGCCCTGCTGACTCCTTTCATCTTAAGGTATTGTTCACACTCATTCCCATCATTCATTGCCAGTTAAAATTCATGGCCACCATGTGCGTTGTTTCCTACTAGGCTAGCAGAAAACACTCCAGGAAGGAACGAGACCAAAGAAAAACCCCACAAACACAAGACCAGTGAGCATGGTTATTTTTAACTGCTACCTCCTGTTAATGGTCTGAGGTGTCAAAACAATCAAGTGATAGTGTGGCACCCACAGAGAGCCCTTCTGATTCACACAGTGTCTGCCTGAAGAAGGGTGGCAGGTGGCTTGTACAGCCTTGATCTTTGTTACAAATCTTTTCAAATGATAATAAATATTCTTCAACAACAGCATTTTCTCTTGGTTCCAGTAGCTCAGGGGTAGCTCATTAATACTGGGTACGTTTAATGAGGTTCTTTACTTTTCTTTCCCTCGTCCCTCATGGTACCCATTCATCTTAGCTTTCTCCTAAGCATTCCATCCCCAAACCAGAGCCAGGTAGATAAGGTCCCCGCTTCATTTAAAAATCTCCGTGAAGTTTAAAAGGTTAGGTGTCACACTTGGACACAAATCCATCCTGATGCCTAATGACCCCCGTGCATTTCTTTAGTCTGGCCCAAGATCTTTCTGACATAGTACATTTCCTTCATGAACTAGAATATCAGACTTGTTGTTTGAAATAACGATCCTTCAGAGATTTAGAAGTCATTATCAGCCCTGTTTTCTGAGTTAGGACATAGATTCCACTTAAAATTAAACTCTATTTATAGAACTGACAGAAAAACCAACTCTGCACTTAGAAAGGAAAAGAAAAAAGGCATGTACTGATTTCAAAAGTTCTGTCTTCTAAGGGAATAACATTTGGATTCCCCCAAGTTTCTTGTGTCTCTGTCTTATTTGGGTTCCCCCAAAGAGAGCCCTGAGACAAGGGTCAGGGAAGGTAGTTTACTTGGGTGGGATCCCAGGAAGCACAGTGAGGGAGTGGGGAAGTCAGAGGACAGGGAGAAACATGAAGAAAGGGTGTGTTCATGAGTGGGTCACTGCTATGAGCAACTGGGGGGCATCCCTCCTGAGCGCTCTTCTGAGCTGCCCCACCCAGAGGTGAGGAATCTGGGGTGTTTGCTCATTGCTCATTGTTGCAGGTCTCTCCTGGAGTAACTCTTGGCATTTCCAGCCTGACCTCCACACAGGCCAAGCACACTCCACAGGTCAGAGCGTGACCCTGGGCAGAGAAACCCAGGAATCTGTCAGCGTGTGGGGGAACTGTCCGCAGATGACCTCTAGGGTGGGCTGAGGGGATATGGGTGGAGCATTGCCACGTGGATTCGAATCCTGGAACTGGCCCCCACACACACATGTATCCAGGTCTATCTAGGATTGCTGGGTTTTCCTGTCCTTGGAAAAAGACCTTGTGTTCTCTGGCCAGACAGGAAGAAAGAAAAGCAGTAAGGGCAGGGCAGCAGTCTGTGTCCAGGGTCCCTCCTGTACCTCGTGGGTGGCTGACCCTCTGTCATCACCGCCTATTTCCATTCTCCCCCACAGAGAACCCAGGGAGGCAGATTCCTGCTCACTTTCAGGAAGAACTTTCCAGCTATTAGAAATGTCTAACTGTGCTGCCTTCTTGAGGCTGTTAACACCTTGTCACTCATTCAAATATTTATGGAGACTGGTCCAGTCTCTGTGTTGGGGGCTGTTGGAGATCAAAGAGGAATGAGACAGGATTCCTGTCCTCAGGGGGTCACAGCTGAGGCTTAAGAAAACTCCTCAAATAACTGTAATTTAAAGGAAAATGAGTAAGTGTTTTGACAGAGGTAGAGGCAACTTGCTGTGGGATGCAGAGGTCAGGGACCTGGGAGGCTGGGAAGGCGCTTCCTGAGCAGGGGGTGGTGGTACAGCTGGCCATCCTCCAAGGCCCCCTTCAGCCCTAAAGCCTGTGATCATAAATGAAAGCTAAAAACAAACAAAGACCACAGCTTACATTTCACATTCGAGAAATGAGCACAGTAAATGCCTTTATTGTTTCCTTATCAGTGGGCAGATAAATGTCTTACTGAAACTAACAAATGATTATGCTTCACAACATAGAGGCAGTATTCTTCATAATAGAGGAACAAACATAATGTTGACTCCTGAACTTGTTAATTTCCCCCTCTATGCTCCTTTTCAGAATAGCAGTACATTGCAGGCACGTCACATTGCCCAAGTTCACCATCATCATCTTCTTTATTTTCCTTCAGCCTAGAACCTGAGACAAACGGGCAGGTAGATTCTAAACTGCAGCCACAAACCAAACAAAAAAAGGCAGAGGGTCTCAAATAACTAAAAAAAGAAAGAACAAAGTTAAAGAGCTGGATTAAGAGGCTTAGTAAATGGGGATGCTCAAGTCCTTAGGCACAAATGACATGTCATGGGCTTTGGGCAACTCATCCATGTGGTTCTTCTGTGTCTCTGTTAAGGAGTATTTGGGAACATAGTCTGTCCTGGGGATACAGCCAGCAAGAACGGATATTTTTTAAAAAATATATCTTACTAGAGGCCGGTGCATGAAAATTCATGCACTGGATTGGGGAGTCCCTCAGCCCGGCCTGACCCCTCTCACAGTCCAGGAGCCCTCAAGGGCAGAAGGCGACCCGGCGATCAGGGGAAGGCGATGCCCCATCACACCTCTGCTTTCCCTCTTTATTAGATCGGGTTGATTTTTTTACAGAGAGGAAGGGAGAGGGATAGGGAGTCAGAAACATCAATGAGAGAGAAACATGGATCAGCTGCCTCCTGCACACCTCCTACTGGGGATGTGCCCGCAACCAAGGTACATGCCCTTGACCGGAATCGAACCTGGGACCTTTCAGTCCCCAGGCTGACACTCTATCACTGAGCCAAACGAGTTAGGGCAGAAATGGATATTTTGACTCTTCACAGCCTTTCCATTTCCTACCAGCTGTCTCCTCCCCCAATCTCTCCCCGAATCTGCCTGGGCTTGCCACCCTTGCCTGCCAGCCTCAGTTCCCTTCATCTGCAGAGCTGTCCATCCATTGAGGGCATCTAACTCACTGGGCCAGGAGTCAGGAGGCATGAGTGCTGATTCACCCCTGGCACTCACTTAAGATGTCACTTGCCTCCTCTGTGCCTCAGCTTCCTTATCTGTAAAGTGAGGGAGTTGAGCTAAATGATCCCAGCCATTCCATTTCTGAGAAAGCACTGTCAGTTCCACGCATCCCAGGCCTCTCGATACATTCTCTGTTTATGGAGGACACCAGATTGCACCTAGAGAGAATTTAGGAAGTCACAGTTTTCTTCTTTTTTATCTCCAGTGCCTGGGGAATGATGACTAAATCTATTCCCCTCTTGAAACCCTCTTCTTTGGAGGAAGTGGGGAATAAACCAAAGAAACAAAGGAAACTCAAGACTTTCAAGTGTCCATGGGCAATGGAAAAGTTTTAAACAAAAGAGTAACATGATCTGACTTGTGCTTTCAAGACTGCCCTGTGTGCTAAAGGGCTGGTGAGGGAAGAGGACACACAGAGGTACACACAGCCCAGCCTCGCGGTCCCTCTGCCTCAGCCCCTCACTCTGGCTCTGCTCTGTGCGCTGCCATGTGCAGGCCACCGCTGGAGCTGAGTGACCACATGCTAGCTATTCCCCTCCCCGCTCTTCTTCAGCCCCTTCCCCTGAGCAGAGCTGCCTAGACTAACCTGATTCCTTGGCCAGAAGTTAATAATATAACTAATAACTCTGGCTTAGTGAGTGTCTTCTTAATCCCTCGCTTTAAAATGACTTTGTTAACTTCAACTCCTCCCCCACATATATGCAAGCGTTACTCAAAGTATTGCACAGTCCAGATGTAAACACTGTCTATCCTGCAGAGCACAAGTTCCCACAGCACTGTCTGCTGCTTCATCCACTTCATCCGACCTCTCCCCAAAGGCTCTCCTCCCAACATTTGCTTACAAATGGGGGGGCGGGGGGAGACACAACTAAATTCCAGCAAAATCTTGCTAACTCAAAAACCCTCTATGTTTACACCCTTCCGCCAGCTTTGTTGGCTACAAAATTCTCTGTTTTCTCATTTCATTACTGAGTACATTAATTGGAGATCACGGGATGGACGGCCCCCTTCTCCTGAGGACTTGTCTCCTGTTGTGATGAACTGAAATCAATGGAGCAGAGTCATTCTCCTGAAAGAACTTCTTGGCAGAATTCTGATGAGAGTTTTCAGCCCTGCCAAAGGCTTTCACTTTGAACCTGACTCCTGGCTGCCCTGACTGGCCACAAAAC